GATATCAACTTGACACCCTGTCACACGCTTTTAAAACCCGGGTTAGCGCCGGTATCCCCATTCCAGAAATTGCCATCGAGTGTACATGCCACGCGTTAAGCCAGTCGCTAAACTATACCGATGAAGAGCGCCGAGGGCATAGCCGCCACACGTTTCACGCGCAACACAATTGCCCAGCAATTTGCTACGCATTTCTTTCCGTATTTCAACATGTGCTAGTCGAACCGAGAACCGGTGTGATTTTTCACAACAGGCATGCATTCTCATGTATCATCTTACGTCTACAAAAAAACGCACTCATTGTTTGTGTCCCAGTGTGAAGTGGATAATTTTACGCCACGTTTCTTTTTTTTTTTTTTAATTATATATAAGAATGAACTTGATGAGTATGAACATCTCTCATCACCAGATGGGTCTTATGACGCAACTTGTATAGTGTACGCGTAAATATGAATGGATACTTCTCCCATTCGTGCTTGTTGCAGTCCATGCCACAACCTTCTCCCCGGCGAGGGGAGCGGTTCTTCGTTACTCAGACTGGAAATACGTAGTTTCCGGCATCCTCAAAGCATTTTAGAGGTACGATTTGAATCGCAATGCTGTCAGAACTGTAACTGGCTCACTCGATGTGAGCGGGTTGACCCGAGTATAAGTTGCGAGTGCCCGGTGGAAAATGCAAGATATGTCTATAATTAATCCAGACGCGCCGAATGTGTTTTGTGTCTTCAACCGAATATGGAATGAGTGTAGCCGTGCAAGAATCTCAACCGCTGAGCAGTTCGGTGCCAGCAATACATCGGGTGGGAAAAAGTCGTACGCAGAAATTTAAGTTACATCACCTCCTCAAACAACTTCACTCCGTTCGGGAGAACAGAGCAGAAACTGCACGCATCGAAGGCGTGTATGCGAGCGGAGCTGGTGGGGCTACACGTGGGCACACGCTTCAATTAACTACTTGAGAGACCTCCAGACGAGCTTTTCTGTATACTACAAGGTAGTTAACTGACACAGAGTAGAGGCACACCTTCACCACCGAATATACTGATTATGTGCAGCTGCAACATATACACGTCGACGTAGCTTCCTTTATTTCTTACTTATTTTCTTGTTGTTGCTTTCAGGCAATTTAATTAAGAAATAAAAAAAAAAACTCCTTTCAGTGAGCTCTGTTTCTGAACAATAAACGAGAATACCATCGATCGCAGCCGACGGCCGTCTGAAACTACTTTCGCAATTGTGTTCATTCACCTCTCTTCCGTGTAGCGACCATAGGGGTTCGGGAGCATTGGTGGACTCAATGAACGGCATCACTAGTGGAAAGCAGAACCGCTCTCTAATGTTCTCGTCATTGTCTCGTTGATATCCGCCTGTAAGTTAAAACAGGAAACTCCTCTTGCTTGCTTTCCAAGGCCCACGGAAGCAATAAAAAAAAAAAAAATATATATATATATATATATATATATATATATATATATATTTTTTTTTTAATTGCATGTGCTGGAGTTTTGAACACATACTTGGACGTGCAGCAACCGGCTCTCAAGAAATAGGATATATGACAAACCTGCACATTAATCTGCGATCTGCTGATGAGTGCGACGCGTTAATACATTGGTCTAGAAACGTAACGGTAATGGTAATAAAAACATTTTTTAATGATTATTGAGACCATCTGACCATATGGTTGTCCCGTCGGGCCAGGAGGGAGGGGAGGGGAGGAGAGGAGAGGGGAGAGAGATTCAAAGGGTGCTTCTAAGCCTGCAGGTCGGACGAAGGACAGGAGCGAAGTGTAAATTGCTCTTTGTAGTGGTGGGGCCCTGTCTGGAGGGTCCAGTCATCAATGCGCTTTGACATCTGATGGGCATCCTGCGCTGCCTCTGAGTTGCTGCCATGCGCGATGACGGTGGGTAGAGGTGGGCGGCGTGAAACCGAAATGGAACCGCCATCTTTTCCGTCCTTGAAAACTGAGCAGCAGGTCGGCAGTCACGGCACCCAACAGCGTTGATATAATAAGATATTTTTTACAACTGACTGTAATTAGTTACTTTTTGGATGTAACTGTAACTATAGTACAATTAAAAAAAATGGTAGCTGAATTTTGTAACTTAATTACATTTAAGCTCGGGTAGCTGTAACTCAATGTCTTTTCTTCTCTTAAGACTATGCATGCGTCACGCCACGTAGTCGGCAACAAGGTCTGTCTACAACGATAAAAGAGTAAAAAAAAAAGAATAATAATTCAATCAGTAAGCTCAAGGTTAAGAGTGACCTTCGCACCCGACATTCGCATATTTGTTCGAACAAGAATTACAATAGTTGTAAAGAGTGTGACGCAATCTGGGCAAGACGTAAATTTTTCTTTTTTCGCAGTCAAGTATAGTAACAATGGGAACACTGGCGTGTTTCGGTAAACTCGACGATTCATGTATTCCTTACCAAGGCACACGTACAAACGTTTTCTAGGTAAAGGTGAAAAGTCGCCAGCCTCCTCGTAGGCAAAGCACAGGAGGATTTCACGTTACACAAGTGATCAGGGTGGCTCGATGGTGCGCAAAACGTCCCGATAATTTCGTAATTATAACGCGGGTTCCGCCGAGCGGTGTCAATAATTCCCTTGAACTAGGTTTCGATCAAGCGCGCGTCTCAAAGAGGCAGAAAGGTCGGGCAGGGTGAGGAATTGCTTGAGATGAATTCCTTTAAACTCGTAGCACTTTCACGAATTTTGAAATAAATAGTAAACAACAAAGAGATCGTGAGTAGACATATGATCCGTATTTATGTTTTTACACGTGAATGTTTTTATTTGTCATCTGGCGTGTCACAGAATCTTCGGCCGATGGCTAAACGCTCAAGACCTGAGGACAGACACAGGCGGCATCTAATCCAAATTACCTAAACCTACAGTTCGAATTTAAAAAAAAAAAAAGTATTTAAATTGCAATTCGGTGGATTAGACAAAAGAGTCAACCCTCCGGCTGAAAGGGGGGCAAACATTAACATTTCGTAATGTTTAGGAGTATGCTGACAAAAGCTGCGCGTACCTGGACGTGGCAAAGTTGACCGTATAAGCCATAAGATATGGTATCAAAGCAATATTGGTTGGCCAAGTTTCATCCGAAAGCACAGAGAGCGCAGAGTTGAAAGAATTAACAAAATAATGGAAGGACAAAGACACAATGACTGATCATTCACTCATTCATTCATCATAGGAAGAGAAGTGTTACAGGATGCCAGCTCAAAATTTTGAATGGAACGCAACCACGAGGTCCCCAACACACTGCGTCGCGCTGACTAAGCTGGAACTGAGATGTTGGCAACTCGTTCTAAGTTATAACCAAGGCAGTAAAAACAACGTGTAGGTGCACATCCCTAAGCAGCTTTGTTTTAAATAAACGTATCCGCGATTTTCTTCGATCACGTATACATTCCCGCATTCGCACTTGTAGCTTGCATAGTACTTAAGTCTGGGTTAGCACAGCATAGATTTTCACACCCGAAAAAGAGCGTATAGTTCACTCATTTCATCTTGAGAGAGTATACGGAAAAGTAATCCGCTTTAGAGTGGCATTCCAGACGAATGAAACCAAACACTCCGAATGCGATGCGTCGCTCTCCACATGTCTGAACCAAGGACGAACTCCCATCGGAGCGTGGGCCGCTCACTCCAGTCGCTACGGCACGAGCTCATTCTTGGCACAGCCGCACTCGCAAAAATATGGGGTGTACGCCCAACCTGCGGGAGCCCGTTCAGACGTCGAGCGACCCGACGCACTTAATTATTGGAGGGTCGCTTGACAGTGTCATTCCCATACTGACGGAAGCGAGGTAGACATGTTGTCCCACTTAGGCTCTCAGCACCGGTCCCATTCGTCGACCCCGCGCGTCCGCTTGACGGGTTTCTGCATCTTCCATCGCTCTCGGCGCACATGTCCATTGTACGTTTTCGCCGGAAGCCGCTGTCACTCCCACATGCCTTAAATCGAGGCAAAAAATGCGTATCGATAAACCTCCACGACACCTCGCAGTTATCGAGTAGCGTGGAATCGGGACCACTGCACAGGGATAACGGATATATTGCACACGTTATCAATGAAAGTTATACGCAAATGATACGTGACACCCTGTTCCCAGAAAGGTCGTCAATGAGCAACGTGCGGGTGCCGGCAAACGGCGAACCTCTAGCCCAAGTTGAACGTTGTTGGAGAGCCTCGAATCAACTAAACCGACGCCTGAGGCAACCGTGCGTCCCAGCGACCAAAACAGTCGGATCGTAGACGAGAGAGGCCATCCCCAAAACTTGCTTTCAAGGGCCTTCCAAAAGCGGAAACGGCACCCTGAAATTCGAGTCCGAGGTTTAGGCCGCTGTCGCCGCATCGCCGCTGGCCGAGAAAGCATCCCTCGTAGACGAAGAAAGCGCGATCGTCCCGAGAACCAACGGCACTGAGAAGCAATGGACGGGCGGCAGTGAGCAGTGAGCTCGAACTTGCTGGGTGGCGTTTTCACCTTGGCTGAGACGGACGGGGAAGCCAGATCCAGTTTTCTCCAGCCTATTCCAGGGGGAGGGGGAGCTCTTTGGTAAGACAAACCTGGCGAGCAGCATGGCTCCTCCAACGAAAACAGACGCAGCGCAGACAGCGGAGGCCCCGACGGCCGGCGGTTCGGAAGAAGCCCCCGAAACGAGAGCACGCGCCCTTCGATCCGGGCCGTGATCCGGGCGTCTGTGCTCCGGAGCACGAACCGGCAGCAGTGAGCGTCAACCCAGAGCGCACCAAACAGCGGCTGGCATGCGGAGTACTCCGGCGGCGAACGCTCCCAACAATGCGCGACTTGGGCAGGCGGGCTCGCTTGCCGAAGTCGCGAACCGTTTGGGCGCTGGAAAAAGCGACGCGGGCCCGTCCCCGGGCCCCCCGAAACGCCTCCAAATACGCAGGGCCGAGAGTGAGGCCCGTTCGGGGAGCCGTCGGGCGCCGAGCGAGCCCAGCGCCGGCGTGTGTACTCACCGCTCGGAAGCATGTCGGCGGCCGCAGCGCAGCAAGGCCGGCCAGGCCGACCGTCGTGGGCATTATCCGGACGAAGACCAGCGGTGGGGGCCGACCGGCACGGACCCCAGTGCGTGGCGAGGCCAGGCGCTCGTCGCCGCAGGGCTGCAGGGCATCCGGCAGGGCTAGCAATCAGCACGCAAATGCAGCAGCCGGGCTCTCGAGCCGAGCCGCCGCCGCCGGGAGCCTGCTGGCAGGGCGCCGCGTGACGCCCACTGCGCGCCGCCCGACGTCACGTCCCCACGTGACCGTCGGGCAACGTCACAGACAGGCGCGCAGACGCAAGGTCGCCAGACGAACGCAATTTTGCCTGGCCCCGGCCGCCCCGGCGAATGTTTACTGCTCCTTCTCGCCGCCGCGTTCCGCTTACGTGAGGAGCACTCTCGGCGGGCCCCTCGGCGCCTCGGCTGGCTGCTGGCCGACGGCCTACGCACGCCGCTTCTCGGAAAGCGCGCCAACTTATTTTCTGTCGCCCGGACCCAGGGCTGCTTGCTTCGTCGCGCGGCCCGTCGCGGACACGCCATCAGGTGCGCCACTTGTCCACGCGGCCGGACCTGGGCTCGTCGTGGGCACCGCACGCCTTCCGGGTTCCCAACGAGGTGTGGAGAACCGCACGTGCTTGCCTGCACCGACGTGGAAGCGGCAAGAATGTCCTGCAACCATGGCGCTTTTCAAGCATCAACAATCATTCCTTAAGGATGGTTCACTTTTGCGACCGACTACGACGGACTCCGACAAAACCGGTTTTTCATAATAATAATAGCTGTATTTTAGCATATAAATGCGGCGGGAGCTGAGGGAACCCCCCACTCCCACACACACAGGTACACAGCAGTTGCGGAAAACATGCACAAGAATTTATGTGATGCAAATACTTAGCAAACGATAAAGCAATGAAAAAAAGTTTACTGAATAATCCACACAGTATGGAAATGTTTACTTAGACTAAATAATAAAAATATCGCATGTGTGCTACAAGATTTGCTTAGCGAATCTTGTAGCAATGGTGGTCGTAAGCGAAGCTGTTTACGACCGCCATCGCTCTGCGCTGTATTTGAATCGGTCGTATTCGATCGCACAAGTGTGAACGAGCCTTTACGCTTGCAGAGATGGCGCACGTAGCGGTCTATTCGTGTCTCACCTTTTTCTTCTTTATTATTATTATTTTCTTTTGCGTATAAGGTATTATTTTAGTTATTCAGTTCTGTAGGAGTAGCTTGTGCTGTCTGGTGATCGCATCGAGATCGTAGGAACGAAATCCCTTGGCCCTTTTTCACCATCTTCATCTGCGCCTAATTTAAGTTTCTACGTGGAAGAAAAATACTTGTCTTGTAGTCACACTTGCTAAGAATTGTTCCATGTTCTTAGGAAAATAGGACTCAATACACACACACCTGAATGCAAAGGTGTGACAACGTAGAGCATCCTTTAACGAATGAGAGTACATCCTTTGGGACGGCGTACCTCCAACAACCCAACCCCCCCCCCCCCCCCCCCCCAAAAAAAAAAAAAAAAATTGGAGTCGTTTTTAAAGGCAGCCCTTCAGACGACGCACATATCGGTGTCCGACTCAAAAGCGAAAATATACCAGTCAGTGGCTGCACTCTAAAAAATGTCTGTGCGTCTACTTTCACGCACAACACTCGGAGAGCCAATCACCGCAACCTACGGAGGCAGCTCAGCGAATGACGATGCCGAAACATATGTTTAGACCAAAAAAACGCAGTCTGAGTTGTGACATTAAGCAATGCAAAACGTCACGCTTGCATTGCTTAATGTCATAACTCGAACTGCGTTTTTTGGTCTAAACGTATGTTTCGGCATCCTCATTTGCTGAGCTGCCTCCGCAGGTTGCGGTGATTGGCTCTCCGAGTGTTGTGCGGGAAAGTAGACGCACGGGCTTTGTTTAAAGTGTTCCAATAGGGTCATAGTAGAGAGAGCAAAAAGAGAAAAAACAAATTCCCTCCCCCTTTCACCCCCGTATCGTCTGCTCCGCCAAGTGGGCTGTACCTAGCATCCGACTGGCGTGCAAACTCTGTTTAAAATTCCGTCATTGTGAAAATTTCAAGCGCAGATGCGCAGATTTCGGCATGCCAGTTATCGTGTAATACTATGCTAGATAAAAGTACTAACAGGGTCCAATTCCGTTGTTACCTGCGTGCAAATAAAAAAAAAAGGAAGAACCGTGTCAGATTGGCCGGTCTCTCCGGCGAAAAGTAAATTTGGTTGCCCTGTACCTTTTTTTACTATACAAAAAAAGTTCGTACTGGTGTAGGCCTTTAGCGACCATGAGTGGAAGTCTGAAATAATAAATAAAAACGTGCCCTCCTGCCGCAATACACGCAGTAGTTAAGGGTACTACTGCCGGCTGAATAAACTGCTATTTAAGTAACGGAAAAAAAGATACGCTAGTTGATCATTTCCCGAAATAGGACAACAGAGAGCTATAGGCTGATTTTGGAGTAGCCATAACTATTCTAAGAACGCGAACCACTTCACAACGGCAGCCACGAGCGAGAGTTCGATGTTCCGTACAGCCCGCCGATACAGCCCAAAGATGGAGGATGGCAACCTCCCGGTTTGTCGTCTGCTAGCGGAGTCGCACGCGTGCCCTCTCTCTCGTTTTACCCTGACGAACCCGCTGAACTTCCCGGATGTATGGAGAGGGCGCTGCTGTCGAACAAAATGGTGCCGCCCAGAGAGCGCTAAGTGGAATGGTCTATAGTTACAGATAGTTTGTCAAAAATGTATTTAAGTTACAGGTACAGCTACTTAAAAATAAACGTAACGCGTTGCAGTTGCAGTTACGTAAGCTTCGTCATCGTAGCTTAGATACTTTCAAGATACTTTTGTTGTTTGTTTATTTTTATTTAGCTATGAAGACATTGATGACAACACCCAATAATTACGATTTATGTTTATTTAGAACTCTCAGAAAACTTTCAGTTCACTCTTTGAAATATATAAATATTACCGTCGCACGATTTTAGTGAATCAAAGTTTTACTGCTTCGATACAAGATGGAGTAAATAATAAATTATTTAGTTGATCTTGTAACGCAGCAGCAACTGCTTTTCAACGATCACTTAACTTTCCCCTTTGGATACTAAACAGATCCTTGCTAAAGATGCGCTGAACGGTGCAGTATTCAGGCGTAAAAAAAGTGATATTGGGAAAGTCGTTGGGGGAGGGGGGGAGGCTAGAGAGACCTGTCGAGGTTTCAACCTTCCCTCGTTCCGTCTCCATGCCTATACTTTTTGTAGTGTTTGGAGCTATAGTCCGTTGCAACTCAAGAAGGCGAAGGTAAGACGGGCCGGAGAGGAGGAAGCAGACGGAACTCCAAAGAGAGGAGGAGGTTTTCCCCTCTCTTCTGCAGCGTTCCGTCTGCGTCCTCCTTTCCGGCCCGTCTTACCCTCGCCCTACCTTCTTGAGTTGCACCGCACTATAGCAGTGAGATTCGCCACTATATTCGACAAAGCCAAAGTTCAGTTTACAGTCGGACCACGGTAAGACCTGCCGTTCGTCACTCAAGACAGCCTCATGTTCGAGTAATAATGATTAATTACCGTCCAACTATTTTCCTTCTTTCTTTTGACGTTATCTCTCCCTTCCTCTTTCTCTTAAGAGCTATCTTATTCCCCTTCTCAGCTGACAGGAGAGGGAGATACCGATGAACCACGCCCGAAGCCAGGGTGGGAAGTGGGGCCTAGGCTGTACATAGACGTGAAATATACTTATTTGTTGCATTATTATACAGCTGTCTTCATGTCGTCGCTGCCGTTTGTTTATGGTGAATTCCGCTCGCAGATCTCGAGCGCTCCAAAAGCGCTCCATTTGGAGCGCGCATATTCCGCTCGCAGATCTGGCTCAAGTTGGTCATCTTCCGCTCGTAGATCTCTGGCAGCGCCCGCTCCACGGAGCGCCCCAAACTCCGCCGAACTTGCTCTGCGGGATTTCACGGATCTCTCCGGAAGCTGACAGAGCGGCCCACGTGACTTCCGTCTAAATCGGCGGTGCGCATGCGCGGCGAGGTTGGAGAGATCGGCGGGCCGGTCGGGTCGTGGAGTTGGATTTGTTCGGGTGCGTCGGTTGTTTACTCTGGATTGTGACGGCTCGAAGGCTTCTACCTCGCGTAGATCAGGGATAAAAAGCCGGGAATGTGGAGCGTGGCAAATCGTAAGCGCTGACGTCTGTGATCGTGAGAGGAAGAACGAGAAAAAGAACGACAGAAAAGCCGGAGGCAGACGCAAGGTTAGGCCTATTCATTCTGCAGCCAGTGATTTTTTACCTTTTCACACTGCATTCCGTCGGCGTTTTCCCGTGAAATAAAGCAAGAAGTGGTTAGGCAACGACCGCGCAAGTGATGGTTTGTTACCTCTGTGTTTATTAAAGTCGTACTACAAATCTGAACTCCACGCTGGCAATCGCTGTCCGTGCCCCGCCGCTTCGAGGCGGCCGAAAGGTATGTGACGGTGCCGAACGCGGACGTCTTCGTTATTTGTGACATGGGCGCCGCGGTACGTATAATTTCGCCCGGCCTGTGTCGCGTGTTACTTCTGCAGCTAAGCAGTGACAGTCGTCACTGGTCGTTGGAAAGATCAGCCGGCTGAGGCGTTGGTGGGCTGGTCAAGTTCAAGCAGCGGCCATTTTGTACGGCGGAGGGAGAAGGGGTGGGGAGGGGTGTGGGGGAGGTCGCTCCAAAAATGGAAGTTTATCTTACCCTCGTCGATTCGGAGCGGGTCCCACGGAGCGGAATTTTGCCTCCCTCGCAGATTTTGGAAAGCGCTCCAGATCTACGAGTGGAATTCACCATTAGTCAAAACTGAGTCTCCGACGCCACCGTCGCGAATATTTAATTGGCTTTGCGCCACCAGCCGCAAGAAGGCGCGGCTCACATTTCAATACGCCGAACCGTTTTCCATGAATCGGTAAACGCGCCACATGAGATTACGGTTCCGTTCCAGTTCTGTTTCAGTATCAAATGTTTGATTTCGGTTACAGTCTTGTTCAGGTTCAGTTAAAAATAACGGCTTTGCTCCGGCTTTCGGTTCGGTTTGACACCCTGGGCAGCAACTACGTGCTAATCACGCATGATTACAACCGCCGCTTTGTCGAGTCTCGCAGCGACAGGAAAGACACCTTGTCCGTCTACAACTATTCAGTGAGGGTGCGCCATTTTGATCCTCGAAGGAGCGTATACACAAGTGAGACAATCAAGCCGTCAGACGCCTCCAGTGCAATGATGCTGTTTCAAGAGCCACCTACCATGCCCTAACGAATGGCGCCATCAACCCGCAGGCCCTAAATAAAAATCGACACAGCTTCCATAAAAAATTGAGCATTTTCCACTCCCACTCTGTTCCAAGCAAAAGGCATCTAATTCTA